CTGGAATCTGAACAATCTGGCAATGATGAACCCATCAGTTCTGACTCATGTGACAGCTGACATCTGTGGGATGACGCTGCCCTGGCTTTACGTCGGCATGTGCTTTTCCTCCTTCTGCTGGCACATCGAGGATCACTGGAGCTACTCCATCAACTACTTGCACTGGTACAACTTTATCAATAGTTTCCTTATTTATGCTGTATTTAGATGGGTGCTACCATTCAGAAAACGTGATCAAAACCTTATCCTGTTGTCCTTTGATTTGTTTTTAGGGGGGAACCTAAGACCTGGTATGGCGCTCCTGGTTTTGCTGCCGAGCAGCTGGAGAAGGTTATGAAGAAGCTGGCTCCAGAGCTGTTTGACTCTCAGCCTGATCTCCTGCACCAGCTGGTCACCATCATGAACCCCAACACACTGATGGCACACGGAGTCCCGGTATGCATCAAGAAGGCTGCTCTTGTCAACTCTGTTTTACACATCCAGCACATTGAATCCACGACTCTTCTTCCTGCTTTAGATTTACAGGACTAACCAGTGCGCTGGTGAGTTTGTCATCACGTTTCCCCGAGCTTATCACAGCGGCTTTAATCAGGGCTTTAACTTTGCCGAGGCCGTCAACTTCTGCACTGTGGACTGGGTACGTATTATTATTCAGAAAATAGAATCGAAAATTTCTTTATGGTCCCACAATGGGGAAATTGCGCCGAAGGGTCTTTATGTAAGAGATATTGTTATTAACAGAAGCAAAACCTCAAAATACAAATCTAGAAGACAGATCTATTAAAAGAATATAATGAAAAAACAATGAGGATTCCTTGGTCTGTGCATATATGTGCACCTCAAATAAAATTAGAAAAACATAGAAGTTTGTTTATTTTAGTAAATCATTCAAGGAACTGAAACTTACATATTTTTATATAATACAGGGAAATAGATGTTTACCTTATTTATATCTGTTTATTTTGCCGATTATTTCTCATTAAAAGACAAGATCTAATTCCTCAAAAAATTACATATTCCAGTTAAAAGAAAGACTTCTAATACAGAAATAGTATGTGTTTGCCTATACAGTGATGGGGATGATGAGCCCTAAAAGGTTCACGCAAAAGAAACAAGCTGTTCTCAGAATGCTGCAACCCGGTATAACAATGGAAAGTTAAGAGAAATGAGGGAGGGTGTTAATAAAAGAATGAAAGGAAAAAGAACATTTGGGGAGAAATTTTTCTCCCCTCTTCATTACCAAATATTTAAAGTTGAAATGTGGAGACTAAAGTGGAAATAAGTTAGTGAAAATAAAGTCAAACTTTCATTAAACGGCCCCCATTCAGAAGATGTAGAATTACAAACATTGCCAAACAGCTTTCAGTCAAGCTGATGTCTGTAGCTATTCATGTCCACTTTATTCTCAATAAAATACTTTGACTTTATTCTCAACATTCCAACTTCTCTGAATTGGTGAGGACCCCCCCAATGTAGCCCCACTACTCCATCGTACGAAGTGAAACCGAGTCTGTGGTCAGAAGGGGATTCAGGACACATTTAGTGCCGTAGAAATGGACTGCATTCTAGAACTGAATTCATCGTCACCTCAGAAATGTGTTACCGATCTCAGGAGAAAACAAGACTTTTTAATTTCATTTAAAAACCAAGGAGAGAATCTCCAGAGGAAGAGTGGAGAAGCTGGTTTGGTTATTTTGAAGTCCAAAGTCAGTGCATCTGTTTATAAGAACATCAAAAGCCCTGCTGCTCTGAAGTATTGAATAATTACTCTGTACCATCCATGGATCTACTTTCCTACTGGCTGATATTTCTCTTTTATCAATATTTCCCTGTAGATCACCTAATATAAGATAAGATAAAATTTCACCTTTGTATTTAATAACAGTTCAGTATATTCTTTTCTGCTGAGGTAGATGGCAGGCTGGGATTTTGTGCTAAATGCAAACAGATAACCAGATCCCACCAAAAAGGGGGAATAAAGTAAGGGTTCAAAAAGGGAAAGGAATGAAAAAATCAATTGCCAGGCAGTCGGTTATTCATGGATTGCCTGTATATATCAAATTATCCTGCAGTTGTGAACCATTTGTTCCGTTTGTTGTTTTTCCAGATGCCCCTTGGCAGGCAGTGTGTGGACCACTACCGTCTGCTGCATCGGTACAACGTCTTTTCCCACGATGAGATGGTGTGCAATATGGCCACTAAAGCAGGCACACTTAATGTGGTATTGGCCTCAGCCGTCCACAAGGACATGGCCCTCATGATCAAAGAAGAGCAGGAACTAAGGGACAAAGTCAAGAAAATGGTAACAAGATCCACATTTTCTAGAGTTGAATGATTAGGGGCCAAAAAAGTTTTGTTACATATCAACAATGTAGACGTAATACAAACTGAACAATTTATTTCATTTATTCTATTTTTTTTTTAGGGTGTGGTGAATTGCAAGGAGGCAAAATATGATAATCTCCAAGATGATGAGCGGCAGTGCGCCACATGCAGGACCACCTGCTACCTCTCTGCCATCACCTGCCCCTGTAGACCAGGAGTCCTGGTCTGTCTGTACCACATCAACAACCTCTGCTCCTGCCCTGTCTCCAATTACGTTCTCAAGTAAGTTGAGTAAGTTAGAGCAGGGGTCACTAACCCAGTGCACCAAGGGGCCCTAGAGGAACACATGGGGTGTCCTCAGCACACTGCTGCTCATGTTTTTAAATAATTTTTAGAACATTTCATCATATACGGCATTTAAGCATTAACGCTACGTTTACACCGAGGGTTTTTAGAGCAGCAGAAGCAGTGGGTTTACATACAAAATCTATGGTTAAGCGCATCAACAGAGGTTCTAAGCGTCTGAGGCCCCTGATGTACTTCACAAGCAGCAGCTGCTGGAGTTGGAAAAAAACTTTTGCTGCTCAATGCGCCACAGCAATCAATCAGAGAAACTGATCTGGGAGCTGGGAGATGGACACATGACTGCTACTCTAGAACGCTATGATCACTCCCCTGAAACTGTTTATTAATGGCTATATTAACTAAAAGTGTCGAAAGTTGCCAGCAAAATATGTCCGCTTTTATTAGATTAGATAAGATTCAAGATTAGATTCAACTTTATTGTCATTGCACAGGTACAGGTACAAGGCAACAAAATGCAGTTTAGGTCTAACCAGAAGTGCAATAGCAGCAAGTGCAGGATAAATAATGGTTCCATAAATACACGACATGGGTTTTCTACTGAATGAGTATAGAGATGGATACTATTATAAATAATGAATATAATATATAGATCACTAGTGTTATGAACTAAATTTACAGCTGGATATGTACGGAATATAATATACAGATGGATATTACTATAAAAAAAAGGTTTTTACAGTTATGTACAATAGCATAATATACAGATGGGTTTTACAATAAAATGAATAAATAAAGTTTGGACAGAAGCTATCTAAATTAAAGTGCAGTGGAAGGTAATTGCATATTGCAGTTAAAGTATGTCATTGCAAATGTATATGTAAAAAATTGGTACTGTGAAAAAACAGTCGGCAGTGCAAATATAAGCAGTTGGCAGTGCAAATCAATAATCAGTCAAAGTGAATAGTGCAAGATGCATATAAAGAGTTGTTACAATAGTAACAGTTTTATTATTCTGGTACCACAGTTCGTACCTTAAAAACACTAACATCTACTACCAGCTGTGACAAAAAGAAGGGCGAAACCGCCAAGAGGCGACTCTGCCTGAGGCAGCTGTTGCTGGATTCCCAGTGACCGCTTGTATGAGGATGTCCGTGCGACTCCGGCAGTAAAATAATATTTTAAGGCAGGATCGTAATCTTGATGAACTGAATGCACAGACAATGTTTTTAGGTTGACTTATTAAAAAACTACTTTTTACCCCCTAATCACAGCAAATATATCAAAGACACGTTGAACACAGGAGCAGCACAAGCATCAGATGCATCTGTACACAATTAATTTCACACGTGTGACCTTAGAGGCATCAAAAGTGAAGTAGCAGACACTTTTTTTGCTGCTGAATTCCCATCCGGTGTGAATGTAGCGATTGAGATTTTTTAAATGGCAATATGTAAAATTAAGTAAGAAATGAAAAGAAACAATAACAATATGTTTATTATGTATGAGGTTTAATGAATTCTAAACCTTCCAGTTCATAGGTCAGTATTGGTAGCCTTTGCTATGCTATAGTACCCATAAAGTAGCCCTCAGCCATTAAAAGGTTGGTGACCCCTGCCTTAGAAGGTTATGTTTGTATGAAAGGAGCTGCAGTAAGAATCTACAGCTTCTCCGAAGCTGTTGTTTTTGCACCACATTCAGTTTAGTGTATGTTCTCCTGCAGCTACAGATACACCATGGATGACCTGTTCCCCATGATGAACGCCGTGAAGCAGCGAGCTGAGCTCTATGATGAATGGGCTTTTCGTGTGACAGCGACCCTGGAGGCTAGGCTGGAAAAGAAAAAAGGTCGGTAAAACAAAACATTGACCATCGCGACAGTCTTCCATGTTTAGGTTTAATACCTGCTCTATGTGTGTGAATAACAAGCTGCTTGAAAACATTGCAGCATGTTGCTTCACTGCTTCCTGTCTCAGCTGAACCACTGAGGAGAGTTGGGTTGTTAAAGTGTTAATCAGACTGTCGTTCTCCTTGCAGGTCTGCCTGTCTTTCGCTCCCTTCTCGCTGAGTCAGAGTCCAGGTTGTTCCCTGACAACGACCTGCTGCGGCGGCTGCGTCTGGTCACACAAGATGCAGAGAAGTGTGCCTCAGTGGCTCAGCAGCTACTGAATGGCAAAAAGCAGACCAGGTCACATCGCTGAGCTTTGTGTCGTAGCATATTTGCTCCATCCTGTCAGGGCCGCGTATTAACAGAGTTAATATTCTCGTTTTTAGGTATCGATGTGGAAGTGGAAGGTCCCGCAGCCAGTTAACAGTGGAAGAGCTCAGCTCGTTTGTGAGGCAGCTGTACAACCTCTGCTGCAGCCTCCCTCAGGCGCCTCAGCTGAAGGTATGTTGATGATGAGTAACGTCCCGTTGTGCCGTTCTTATGTAAATCTTATTTAAATTTTTTTTTCCCTCAGAATATTTTTATTGAATTTTCATTTTAACATACAACATTGCACACTGTGATGTTTACATCCAAGTCTAGAGTGTACAGGAAAAAGAAAAAAAAAAAATCAAAATGTGAAAGAAACACCACAAAAACAAAACCCCTAACCCATACCAGCAGTAACAGTTATAGTATAGTCGGTCCCTGTTCCTGGATAACACCAAAGACTTAAAACCCAACCGGAATTCAAATTTAAACATAGGTAGGAAGGTAGACAGCGAAACATCTTCATTTCAATTTATAGTGATGGAAGTACTTCAAAAAGGGTCCCCACACAGTAAAAAAGTTTTCTACTGAGTTAGTTATTGAGTAGCGAATTTTCTCGAGAGTAAGGCATGACATAACATCTTTGAGCCACTGAGCATGGGTGGGCGGGGCAGCATCCTTCCATCTCATCAGAACAGCTCGCCGAGCCAGCAGGGAGGTGAAAGACACAACACGACATTGAGTTGGTGAGAGGCGGGTGCTACCCTCGCCAGTGGTGCCAAAAATAGCAACCAAAGGGTTGGGCTTCAGATCGATCTCAAGAATTATGGACAAAGTCCGGAAGACCTCCCTCCAGAAATCCTCCAGGCTTGGGCATGTCCAAAACATGTGAATGAGGGAAGCTTCACTGATCGAGCATTTATCACAGTGAGGGTCCACATTCGGGTAGATACTTGAAAGCCTAGCTTTTGACCAGTGGGCTCTGTGTACGACCTTAAATTGTAACAAACAGTGACGAGCGCATAGAGATGATGTATTGGTTAGTTTGAGAATAGTTTCCCATTCATTGTTTGACAGTAAGATATTTAAGTCGTGTTCCCAGGCCTTTTTGATCTTATCGATAGGGGCTTGTCTGACTTCCACCAGTTTGTCATAGATGATGGAAATGAGACGTTTGCGTGTTGGGTTTAAGGACAGAATATCATCCGCCAAATTTGTGTCATATACATTTGGAAAGTTGGGTAGCTGAGAAGCAAGAAAATGTCTGACTTGTAGATATCTGAAAAAATTATCTTTAGATAAATTGTACCGTACTGAAAGTTGTTCAAATGAGGGAAAACAATTGTTAATAAAGAGGTCTTTAAAATGCACCAGGCCCTTTTTATGCCATTCCATAAAAGCAGCGTCCTTTAGAGAGGGCTGAAATGAGTTGTTATTGAGGATAGGACTGAGGACTGAAAAGTCAAGAAGACCGAAGTGTCTTCTAAACTGTATCCACACTCTCACAGCATGTTTAACAACCAAGTTAAATATGGAAATATTTGGTGGTAAAGGGAGTGGGGATCCAAGCAGTGCAGGGATGGAAACGTGTTCTGAGGAGGCAAGCTCCATCTTAACCCATGGTGGGCAGCTAGCATGATGACGATCTTTGAACCAAAAAGTTAAACACCGCAAATTAGCCGCCCAATAATAGAATCGAAAGTTGGGCATTGCTAGTCCTCCCATATTTTTGGATTTTTGAAGATGGGCTTTAGTTAAACGAGGGTGCTTGCCTTTCCAAACATATGATGAAATAACTGAATCTAATGTATCAAAAAAAGATTTGGGTATGAAAATTGGTACGTTTTGAAAAAGATATAAAAATTTAGGGAGAATATTCATTTTAATGGAGTTAATTCGGCCAACTAAGGAAGTTGACAAAGGTGACCACTGCGTCAGAGTATGTCTGGTCTTATTTAACAGAGTAAGGAAGTTTTCTTGAAAAAGATTCTTGTGTTTCCTTGTGATTTTAATACCAAGGTAGGTAAAATGGTCTTTTGTGACTTTAAATGGAAAGTTTTTGTATTGTGCTTGAAAGGCTAAATCATTCACAGGGAAAAGTTCGCTTTTACTTAAATTAAGCTTATAGCCTGAAAATTGGCCAAAATTGCTGAACAATGACAGTATATGAGGCAGGGAGATATTGGGCTTTGATATGAAAAGTAACAGGTCATCAGCATACAGGGCCACCTTGTGCTCTACCCCTCCCCTCCAAATTCCAGAGATCGCTTCGCAACCACGAACGGCAGCTGCCAGTGGCTCTATCGCAAGGTCGAAAAGTAAAGGACTTAAAGGGCACCCCTGGCGAGTTCCTCTATGGAGGATAAATGGGCGGGAGAGTTGGGAATTAGTAATTACTGATGCAGTGGGATTGGAGTACAGTAATCTAATCCAAGAGATAAAATTGTGTGGAAAGTTAAATTTCTCCAAAACTGAAAAGAGATATGCCCACTCCACCCGATCAAACGCCTTTTCAGCGTCCAGAGAAAGAATACATTCAGGATCCGTAGAGGCTGGGGAGTACAATATATTGAATAAGCGGCGTGTGCTGTAATATGATTGGCGATTCTTGATGAAGCCATTTTGATCGGTGGATATGACAGATGGCAGAACATTCTCCAATCTATGAGCTATAATTTTTGCAAGAATTTTAACGTCTACATTTAGCAAAGAAATTGGTCTGTACGAAGAACACTGTGTTGGGTCTTTGTCCTTTTTGGCAATTAATGTAATAGTTGCTTCTCCGAAGGATGCAGGGAGTTTGTTTTGCCTGAATGAGTCAGACAAAACCAGACTTAGCTGGGGTATAAGCAAGGAAGAGAATGACCTGAAGAACTCGACTGGGAACCCGTCAGGTCCCGGGGACTTTCCTGATTGCATAGAGGAGATAGCAAACACCACCTCCTCCTTGGTTATTGGTCCATCAAGTCTCTCTCTGTCATCAGGCGAAAGCTCAGGGAGATCCAAATTATCCAAGAAGTTTTCCACACGAGTATTATCATTTTGTAGTTCAGAAGCATAAAGATTACTGTAATATTCTCTGAATGTATCATTTATTTCAGTAGGATTGGATGTTACGCTGCCATCAGACATCTGAATCTGTGTGATCAGCTGTTTTGCTCTGGATCCTCTTAAGCAATTAGCTAGCATCTTACCAGGCTTGTCCCCTTGTAGATAAAACTGGCTTTTGTTTTTTAGAAGTTGTTGTTCGATTGGATATGTAGAAAGTAGATCAAATTTAGTTTGTAGTTCTACTCGTTTTTGGATAAGGTCTGGATTACCAGACTGAGCGTACTGCTGATCAATTTGTTTAATCTGAGATGCTAAATCTTGTCGCTCTCTCCGGGCTGTCCTTTTCATATTAGCACTATAGGAAATAATTTGGCCTCTAAGAAAAGCTTTCAGAGTATCCCACACTGTTAAGCTAGAGACTTCTGGAGAGATATTGGTTTCAAAAAAGAAAGCTATCTGCTCTTGTATAAATTGTTTAAAAGTGTTGTCTGATAACAGGGTTGTATTGAAGCGCCAATGTTTTCTATGAGGAGGAAGGTTCAGGAAGTCCATTTTCAGTGTAACAGGAGAATGGTCTGATATTACAATTGGTTCATATGAACATGAAAGCACTGATGAGAGAAGCTCATTTTGAACAAAAAAATAATCTATTCTAGAGTAGCTATGATGCACATGGGAAAAGAATGAGTATTCTCTCCTTTGTGGATGAAAACAACGCCACACATCAGAGATTCCATAATCTGATAGGAATGACTGAATCATGGAGGCTGATTTACTTAATATGCCAGGCTTGGGGGAAGATCGGTCCAGTAACGGATCTAAACAACAATTAAAATCCCCCCCAAGGATAAGAGAGTATGAACTAAGATCAGGTAAAGAGGAGAAAAACTTCTTGAAGAATCCAGCATCGTCACAGTTAGGAGCGTACACATTGGCAAGCACAACCTTGACATCACCCAACTTTCCTGAAACCATAATAAATCGCCCATTTGGATCAGAAATTACATTATGCTGCTCAAATGGTATATTTTGGTTGATTAGAATTGAGACCCCCCGGGCCTTAGCCCGGAAAGAGGAGTGAAAGTGGTGCCCCGCCCACCGAGACATGAGACGTAGATAGTCGGAGCCGCGGATGTGTGTCTCTTGTAAAAAGATAATCTCTGCCCTTTCTTGTTTTAAGAAAGAAAATACCTTCCTCCTTTTAACGGGATGGTTCAAACCCTTAACATTCCAGCTGAAAAAATTCAGTGAACTATGCATCACCTATGGTTGACAGATTTGGTTCCTTGAGAAATAAATGTTGAGACTTAAGGTCATGAGGGACATAAAATAATCCAAAAGATGATAGAAAAACTGGTCCCAGACATGTTTAACAGATATTACTCCAATGGCATCTGCATTACCAGAACAATCCCCCACCCCCCACCCCAACAACATGACAGCTGCCAAAGAACTTAGCAGCAAGCTCTTTAAATCCCCCCTCATACACAGAAAAAACTCTTCCAGTTTGAACACCAAACTTCAGCTCCCAACATTGATTAAAGTAGAAAAAAAATAAATAAATGAAGGAAAAATATATACTCTATGTACTCTACAGTAGAGTTATATGAGTGACATTTAAACTGTCTGGGCCCATAAATGGTACAACAGTCTCACTGGCAGCGAAGACTGGCTGCTCCCCGCTCATACCTGCACAGCCAGTGTTTGGTGGAGTCAAGCCCGTTGTAATCAGTCCGCCGCACCTTTCAGTTGGTCGGCTCCGCTGTGGGAGGCAGCCCGGCCTTATTTAAATTTTACTATGATCACCAACTCCAATGATTTTTGTGTAATTTTATGTGAAAGCTTAAGACAAAAAGCATTTAGCTGTTAAGAAAATACAAGGCATACAAAGTTTTTTTTCAGATTTTGTTTTAATTAGAATCTGAAAAGTACGTCTTCATTTGTCTTTTTGTTGTTTTTTTTTGCTTCCACCTTTTGCTGAAGTTAAAGCTGAAAATAGATTTTTTTTCCCCCTGATCTGCAAATCCAGAGACGAAAGTTTTTGCTCCTCATTGTTTGCAAAAAAAATAAAAATAATAATAATAACTAGTTGTTTAGTTTGGATCAGAACCAGTCTAGATAATCTATTTTCATTTTACCCACACATTTCTAATTGGATTTAGACTAAGGCTTTAACTAGGCCATTCTAATGCATAAATATGCCTGGAATCAAGCCTTTCATAAATATTCAATGCTTCACTTCCATTTTTTTACTTCTCCATGTTGTAAAGGTTACATTTATATCATTTCTAAAACCATATTATAGAAAGACATTTGTTTTGATTAAATTCATGTCAACCCTAAACCAGCCATATTTACCACTAGTCAACACAGGGATATTTTTCAACTCCTCCATTAGACAAGAGTATCTAGATCTTGTGATTAAAGAACAACTCACCCCCAAATTGACTTTTTTATGAGAAAAAATAGATGTCCAGTGTTTCCCACAGGATTTTAACCCTGTAATGCCAAATGTATCATATTTGATAAATATGGTTTCTGAAATGTTTTGCGTCTGACACCTTTTGCATAATTTAATGGTAAAAAATAAAAATAATCTTGACTTATCGCATAGTAATAAATTATTAATATCAAAAATGTATTTCTGCTTTTTCTTTTTACATATTTTGTTAAAAGGCCAAATAAGGACTTCAAACCAAAAAAAAGTAATGTTCTGTTTTGTTTTATTCTTGGATCATGCTTTAAAGGGTTAAGAGACTGTGGTGGGAGAGTCTCTGACCCTCGGGAGTTTTGCACATTCTTAAGCGTGATGTATCCCAATTAAAGGGGAACGCCGTTTTTTTTTTTTTTTTTACATTGGGCCCTTGATTTTACGTTATTACATCATGTTCTACTCACCCATATGAGTTTTGTGTCATTTGGAGCTGTTCTGAAGATATTCCGTTAGGTTATATCCAAGTAACGTCTTCCTTTGGGCAACGACTTGACGGCACAAACTAAACTGTTCATAATTTATCATTTATGGTACGACAGCATTCATAACATGTAGGGGAATCACTGTCCCCAGTCTCATTCATTAATGGGAAACACTAGATGTCCTTTATGTCCTCAAGCATCATTTTCACAATTTCCTTTGGTTTTTGAAACCCTGCTTTTGTATCTGAAACCATTTCCTAAGCACCCTCCTCATGTTTAGCAAGAAAATGAATTTTAGATGTTGTGACTCAGTAGCTCTGCTGCTGCGGGGTATGAAAGCGGCTCCATCTGGTATGTTGGAATGGTGAGCTTTGCAATCATTCTATTCATTTTCAGGTTGGTGCTGTATTAGCTTAGCCTTCAGTTATATTATTTAGCATTTATTTACCATACTAGACCCCAACAGGAGCTGCTTCCTTTAGGCACATTTTTCCAAGTTTAAGAAGTGAATGAAGTGAGGCTGTAGTATGAGGGATGGAAGATCCTTAAAACCATACATGGACAAGGAACCTCCATTTTTATAGATAATACGACATCAAAACAACCCTTGGAGACGCCAAAGACTATGATAGTGTTGTGGGAATTTAATTAAAGTACCACTGTTTACCAGAAGTCGAATAACTTGTCTCATGCATGGAGCTTTTTCTCTCCTGTCTCTCATCTGCTATCACCTCATACATTTTTATTGCGTATAAGTCTGCACCAAAATATTTAATGTGCTTCTTTTAGGAACTGTTGAATCGGATTGAAGACTTCCAGCAGCACAGCGAGAAGGTCTTAGCAGAGGAATCCCCCAGTGTTGCAGAGATCCAGAGCCTTCTAGACGTCAGCTTTGATTTCGATGTAGACCTGCCAGAACTGCCGCTACTGAGGGAGAGGCTGGAGCAGGCAAGGTGGCTGGAGGCGGTGCAGGGGGCCAGCTCCCAGCCTGCCACACTCACCTTAGAGGCCATGAGGAGACTCATCGACCAGGGAGTCGGGTTGGCACCTCACCCGTCCGTGGAGAAAGCTATGGCACGCCTCCAAGAGCAGCTCACTTTGTCGGAGCACTGGGAGGATAAGGCGAGCAGCCTGCTGCAGGCCAGGTGAGCTCAGCAATAGCTTATCTACGTCTGTGTCTGTGCCAGCAGAGGGAAAAAAAATAAAAATAAAAACAAGAAAACTACAATAGCATCACTTATGATGGCTTCAGGGCTTTGGTTTGACTTTAATATTAGGATCAAAGCCTCGTTTCTCAGTTTTGACAATCGTTCCAGCTATTTGCACCGATTCTAACTGACATCTGTAATATTACGTCAGTGCTTCTGATTTTGCTTCGTTTTAATTACAGCTAGTGCAAAATGCTGCTGCTAGAATATTCAACAAGATCAACAAAAAAAGTGAGCATCATGTTTGGTTCTGCAATCATTCCATTGGTTCTTAAAGCTGTTCACTATTAACCATCAAAAAAAGATTTTTATAGGCTTTTAACGGCAGGAATAAGCTTATCCTCTGTCCTCTTGTCTTGTATTAAAGCCAAGTTTGAATTCACTTAAATCATGCTTTTTTTGTGTATTTTTTCCCCTATAATTATATTTGTAGATATTCGGCCCATTAGAAGATACTGGAAAGTTGTTGTTGTTGTTTTTTAGATTCTTTTATAATCTGTGTTTGCAGCATATTTTACAAGTTTTCATTTGTTTGTAGAAATCCTACAAAATAAATTCATAGTAAATCTCCGACATAGATACCTGGTTTTGTATTGATTTCTTTTTTTAAAATGTTTCATCGCGCTTTTTATTTCCATCACCAGACCCCCCCACTCAATAGAAACACTTAGCGCCGCTGCTGAACAGGCCTCAGTAATCCCCGCTCATCTCCCAAACTGTCTGCTCCTGAAAGACACCATCAGGAAAGCCCAGGAGTGGCTTCAAGAAGCAGAGGAGCTCCAGGTGTGGACACATCTCTGGATAACTGGTCTCCACAGAGGTCAATCAAGAGCAGCTTTCTTATACTGAAAGGTTCTGATTCTTTCAGGTGAGTGGATGTGTGATGACGGCAGACAGCCTGTCTGACATGGTGCTACGAGGACAGGCCATCCAGGTGCAGCTGGAGCCCTTAGAGAGGCTGGAGTATTTGTTGGCAAACGCGCAGGAGTGGAAAGAATCTGCAGCAGCAACGTTCCTTTTAAAGGACTCATCTCTTACTCTGCTAGAGGTACAGATCATAAATCCTCACACATCTGGTGATGCTTTAGTTTTCTTACAGTACTTAACAGAAACATGCATGTTTAGGTGTTAGGTTTCATAAAAAATCTCAGACTTTTCAAATTTGAAAGGATTTCTTTGGTATTTTCTTTTGTTATATATGTACATAAAAACTTTAAACATGAAATATTTAGCCTCTAATTGAAAGCTGTGTATCATTAGATTATGGATTGTCCCTATAAAAGATCATGGGTCTTTTAGCCCCTTATAATAGGCTGCATTAAGGGCAAGATTTTTATACTAAGAAAAAAACAAATATGAACATTAATTCTTCAAAGATTATTGGAGCAGATAAATTCATGTTTACCACCATAGTGGAAAGTATCATCTTCAATTAGAAATGACATACACGCTTAGAGGTGGACATAAATTGGTGTAGTTCAGCTGTTTGAGCAAGTTTTTAAAGTGCCAATTTCAACACATTATGATTAATATTAATTAAACTAAACTAGTTTTAGTAAAGTTTAGGTTTAGTCTTCAGTTGATTTGTTTTTATCCTCACTTCAGGTCCTGTGTCCAAGCTTTGAAGTCGGAACTCTCAGTACCTCAAAGAGGAAGGCCAAGAAGGGGAAAGAATACCCGAAAAATAACAAAAAGAAACCTGCACGGCTTAACTCTCTCCGTGAGGTGGAAAAAGCTCTTTCAGAGAGCACGGACTCTACATCTGCTGTGAGTGTACATTGTCATTCAGAAGTGTGGAACAGATCAAAAGCATCTTGATAAATTAGAACAGAATTCATATCTGGATCCATTACACAGCAGTAGAAGCAGTCAGTCAGGGCTCCTAGCTGTGGGATGTAGATGATCAGCATGTGGGTTTAATGAGCCATTCAAGCAGCCAAGGTTGTTTTGATAATGGCCTTAATATCATCTGCATTGTTGGGTCGAGTATCTCTCATCTTCCTCTTAATGCTATGTTCAGACCTAAAGCAGCAGAGGCAGCAGGAGCAGCTAGTTTACATGCAAAGTCAATGGTCGATGTCCCACGGCGCGTTTTGAGCAGCAGGAGCAGCACATCTGAGCAAATGAAGCTGGGCATCGTGAGCGTCTGAGCATCTGAAGTGCGGAACGCGCTGCAAAGGCAGCAGCTGCTGGAGTTGGAAAAAATTTAACTTTTGATGCTCGACGCGCCACATCAACCAATCAGAGAAGCTGATCTGGAAGCTGGCAGGGAGACAGACACATCGCTGCTGATGCAGAGTGCTATGATCACTCCTCTGAAACAGTTTATTAAAGCCAAAATTAACTTAAAATGCCAAAATCTGCCAGCAAAACGTTCGCTTTTATTATCCTGGTGCCTGCAGTTTGGAATATGTACATGAGAAACCGCCTTCCAGCCGCCGCAGCAAACCGCGAAGAGACAACCGGGCCAGAGGGATTCCTTGTGACAGCGCACCACCGGTATGTGGGGGTCTAAGCGAAATAATATTTAAAGGCAGGATGGTCATCTGGATGAACTGACAATGTTTTCAGGTGGACTTTCTGATAGAAAAACATAATAAAACTACTTTTTACGCACTGATCATAGCAAATATAGCTTCATCAAAAATAAAACAGCACACGCGTTTTTGCGGCTCTTGCTGCTTGCTGTCTGAACGTAGCATAACACTTCATAGGTTAAGTATAAAATTCAGGTCAGACAGCATTGCCATGCTCAATAGATGGGAAGTATCGGTACTTTTAGGATGGTGGGCAGGTGCCAGTCCTGTTGGAGAATAGAATCAGCATAAAGCATGGTAGCAGAGACACCCATGTGCTCTAACATTTCCTGGAAGATAGTTGTGCTGACTTTGGATTTAAAAACAGAAGTCATCACTGTCAAATTATCACTGTCTTTGGAAACTTCACTTTGGACAAGCAACATGGAGTCCGTGTTTCTCCATTCCTTGTCCAGATTCTGGGATTGTGATTTCGGCCGTTTCCCAATATGTGTACTTGTGCGTTCTCGTGTGCTCGTGCACTCGAAAAAACGTCATCAGCCTCAGCCTTAGTACTGTTCAAATTCACAAGAACAAGAAGGCAGAAAACAGATGTTGTTCTGGCCCCTCTCTATTTACCCAGCATGCATCAGAGCAGACTTGTCCGTTCTTGAGATTGACAGCTGTCCCAGCATGCACCACGGCAGGGGAGCAATCGCAGAACTCAGAGTATTAAGTTAAAACTTCTCTTTTCTGGCGCCATTGTTCTATAAAAGTACGTTTTAAGATAATTTAAAGCAAGAACGTTATACTTTTAAGCATCACTACATGGCCCATTCAGTGATTTAGTGCATAATTAAAAAAAAAGTTCCGATGTTGAGAGGTTAAGGTTAGCCCGGGCTAACTTTAGCCAGTCTGCAGCAGATCCTCTCTTTGCAGAGCCGTGTGTGAAGGACCGCCGGCTCAAATGGCGATTTTTTTTATTTTTTATTTGCCAATATGTTCATTTTATTTGTGTTTATCTGACTGTTTTCATTATTATTCCCCCACTAAATGAAAAAAGTAAGAATTTATTATTATCTAGATACTATTACTAACAGGTGAAATGCAGCTTCAGATGAGCCGGGCATGTGTTGATGTCACGAGTACGCCTCTGTTCCAATTGACCCATATTTATGCTGCATGCTCCCGTTCTCCCCAACTTTCCTGTTTTCTTCTCAAGAACATACTTGGAAAGGACACAAGTCCGTACTCGCGTTCTTCACTGCAAAAACGATCTGAAATTAAGTAAAAATTTATTAAATCAAGTATATTTACACTTAATTTGAGCAGGAAAATAAGATAGTTTGCCAATGGAATGAGTATTTTTACACTTAAAATAAGATAATTAGAAAATATGCACCTAAAATAAGACTAAGCAATAGTTTTTTCTTATTTCAAATGTAAATTGTCTTGTTCCACTGGCAAATTGTCTCACTTACCCCCTCAATTCAAGAAAAAATGCACTTATTTTAAGAAAAAAACGACTTATTTAGATTTACATTTTTTGCAGTGTTGTTAATCAAAAAAATGGCCTTCCAAATGAAATGCAGAATTTACTTTGGACCCATGAGGCAACAGTCCATCTTCAACTCAGATCAGATGCTTCTAATGGGCCTCTATTTCAGAAGTGGCTTGCGGAATAGAATAGAATAGAATAGAATAGAATAGAATAGAATAGAATAGAATAGAATAGAATAGAATAGAATAGAATAGAATAGAATAGAATAGAATAGAAAAGAAAAGAAATAATGCTTTGCGGCTCATACAGACTTCTCTTTACAATGCGGGTGCATTTATCCCTGTTACCTGTTGACCGTCCTATAACCCTCTCTTCCACTAAACCTTCTATTAGTATGCTTGGATACAGAAATCTGCACAGCCGGCTTCTTTATAAATATTTTTTTTCTGGTTTGTGGACACTGTAGATAGCTGTTAAAAAAAAAAAAAACTCACCTCAGCAGTCTGAAAAGATATGTCAATGTGTAATGAATCTATATTGGATTTTCTGATTTAACTGGATTGTTTGAATATTTGATGATAATCCGATGTGTTGAGATGCACCTGATTTTACTGTAAACACGTCGTGCTCTTAGGTCCTTATAAAAGCAATGTTTAAGAGAAAGTATACAGATTCAGAATAAAACATCAGTGGAATAAATTCCCAATGTTTTTAGGTGATCTATTGAGGTTTTTAAAAGCAGATAATCTGTTCATTATAAACGTGCAAATTTAGTTTTATTTCATTATTTTTTTTTTAGAACTGTCATTTAAGAAAAAGGAGTGAATACACAGCAAAGACACCTCTGATCACCCTTAGAGTACAGTGTACTAAAATCTTTTTAACTTGTGCAGAAATGAACTGATTGTCTGTTTTATGATCCAGATGGCGACTCTGGAGGAGCTGCGTGTCAGGGAGATGGAGACCTTCTTTAATCTCAGGGCAGCGAATGAGTCAAAGCTCCTTCCCACGGCGGACTGCATGGACCTGAAGGTGTGTTTCTGCCAGAAGGCGCCCATGGGAGCAATGCTGCAGTGTGAGCTCTGCAGGGACGCCTTCCACAGCGTCTGCGTCAGGGACCCATCCGACAGCTTTGAAACGCAGCCGTGGCTCTGTCCACACTGCCAGCGGTCAGAGAAGCCCCCGCTAAGCAAAGTCTTCTCTCTGCTGACGTCTCTGCGAAGCGTAGGCGTCCGTCTGCCAGAGGGCGACGCTCTGAACTATCTGGTAGATAGGACACTTAACTGGCAGCAGCGAACGCAGCAGATTTTAACAGATTGTCACCTGCCGGAGTTAGAAGAGAGACCAGAAACCCCTCCAACACTAACCCACTGGGTGTCAGGCTGCGACAACACTCATACCAACACTCAGGTCACTCTTTGGTCATTTATTAGCTTTATTTTCCAGCTAGCTCCTTGCTACTGATGCTGATTTTTGGTTTGATGTCCCTTCTTTCAGGCTCCGTGTTTGACTCCAGAGTGGAACAGGACAAGCCATGCTCAGACTGTCTTTTACACTGAGCAGAGATGCATCCCACTGCAGGGTCAGATCTCTCTCTGTATCCAAACTTATGTCTAAAAAACGAAAATCCAACAATTCTGAGCGTTATTCAGTCGAGCGGCTGTGTTTTTCCTCTTTGTCTATCAAAGGCTTGAACAGCGAGCTGGAGGAGCTGATGGTGGAGGGGCTCCTGCTTCAGGTGTCTTTGCCGCAGGTCCACAGCCTCTACCATATTTTACTGGACAGAGCCAACAGCCAGCACCCCAACCGACCGGCGTCACCTCCAAAGGAGGAGCCCTCAGACCAAGGAAAACACATGCAGTTCATCTCTCAGGGAACAAATATGGCACTGAACCAGGTGAAAGAATCCCTCTACAACTGAACACGTTAAATACACCAACTATCAGACTTATTAGTCTCATCAATTGAAGTATCAACTGTTTAAATGAGTACAGATATTTAAATGAGTACAAATATTTACAGAATACGATAAATTTCAATATAAAGATTGGTTACACAGATTGATAAAAAAAAAGACAACTAATAAAATGAAAACATGAAGATTAAGATCGTGACCTTGGCACATAAAGTTCTTATATAACATAATATAAATAATTTGATGTCAAAGCCTAAATCTGCTGCTCTCAAGGTTCCTGTTTAGCCTGGAAAGTACTGGGATTTAAATATTGTCCAGGACGGGGGAAAGTGGGAACGAAACTGTCTGTCTGTCCTTTCTTTCTTGTTCTTTTGTTTCTTTCTGTCTTTTATCCATTCATAGCAGACATATAATGATAATAAACATTTTATGAAACAAATGTAAAGTTAAAGTGGGAAAAGTTTAAATATATGAGCCATGTAAGGTTCTCCAGAGGTTGAGCTCCTTACAGCAGCTCTTCTCTCTTAAAAATAGTTTAATTGAGGCTGACTTTCTTTTCAGGATGGAAGCACCAGCACCAGGGACACCATGACCCCCTCAGAAAGGAAAGCAAAGAGGCGTCTGGAGAGGGGAGGATTACCGGACGCAGAGCCCAGGGGAAGAGATAAAAAACACTCTCACAAAAGACAAAAGGTGAATAAAAAGAAGCCCCAGCGCCGACCAGCTTCTACCTCATCCTCCCCGCGCTCTGACTTCTCCCAGTCTGATGACTCTGATGAGGAAATGGCTGTGTGTCCTGCTGAAAGCTGTCTGCTGCCAGAAGGAGATGAGGTGAGACAAAGTGTTATACACACAGCATTTAAAAATAAGATATCTTAAAGGAATAGTACACCCAAAACATGATTAGCCTTCATTTTCTACTCACCCCCATGCTGAACAACACCCTGGAGTACTTTTTTGATATCTCAAATGCATCTGGAGATCTGGGAGGCTTCTTGCTGTCTGCTGACATTCAAATAATGGAGGTCTATGGTGCCCGAGGCAGAAAGGTCCATAAAAGTCCACAAAAAACGTGTCAATATTCCTCCATACTGCTCGTCCAATATATTCCAAGTGTCCTGAGTGGGTAGCATCCAGAATTTACTCGAAACAAAGTCATTTAGAATGTTTTTAGAGCATAAACAGTAGTGTATAGGATTTCCTGAAAGCGCGCACCTGCGCGATCACGACGCTACGGAAGCCGGCAGACCAAACCAGATGAAAGTGCGCATTCAGCGTCTGCTCTGCCGATAATGCAAGCGTAGAAGAAGAAATGTGCCGTTTACCTGTGCAAAGAAAGAAACAACGAAAGAAGAATGTCTGAGGACTTCAGTGTTGAGGAAGAGCATGAGTTTTTTGCTGAGCTGAATGCGCACTTTCGTCTGGGTTGGTCTGCGCGCCGTGAACGCGCTTTCAGGAAAGGCACAGTCAATTTCATTTGGTTGGAATTCAGTTTGTTTATTTAGTTTATTTAAGTTCCAGTTCACAACAAACTGCCGTCAGTGTGTGAGGCCATCTGCTGTGACCGACTGGGGCTGTGAGAAGAAAAAGCAGTCAAACAAAAGGACAAACTATCTCCTATTAAATAAGAAATAGAAAGTTAAAGTTAGCTGCAGTTCGTGAATTGAGAATAACAGCTAAACATTTACTGCCTGATTTCTTTGTCAGTCTCTAATTTAAGACCGTTTGATCATCGTTTCTAGTTGTTGCAGTTGAAGATGAGCTCTATTTATTTCTGTTACTTGTTTTTCTTTTTATACAGCTCTGCACCAACATTATTTGACCCATCCATCCATCCATCCATCCATTCATCCATTTTCTGTCATGCTTATCCCAGCTGGGGTCACAAGGGCTGCTGGTGCCTATCTCCAGCTGTCAATGTTATTTTTTGACCCAAATAAACAAAATTCACACAACATATGAAATGTGTTTATTATTTTTCTCATAATCTGACTCGTTTATTCAGATATGCTGCCTTCATGCTGTTGGCAAAGGGCCTTAAATAGCTCTTTACACCAAAGCCTGTACAAAAGGATTAAGTAGCAAAATCTGACCTGCAGATCAAACTGTTGATGGGACTTGTTTTAATGCCAAAAAAAATATAATTTCTGATGTCCTTTTCTCCTCAGGTGGACTGGGTCCAGTGTGACGGCAGATGCAACCAGTGGTTTCACCAAGTCTGTGTCGGCGTCACGCCAGAGATGGCCGAGAAGGAGGACTACGTTTGTGTGTCATGCACGCTGAACGATCGACAGATCAGAAAGTGAAGAAAATGCGGTTTTACTTTTTTTGTTTTGGAGGGGGGGTCTGCAGGTCATCGGTCCGTTCCTGAAGCCTGGAGTCAGGCTGTGTCACTGATCCCGTTCCCGATTCACTGATCCCCACACAGTCCCACCTGTCTGACCCTTTTGTAACAATGGTGCTATCTCCTCTTTGACTTGTCGTCTGGGACTATAATGTTTAGGGTTTTTTTGTATTTTTACATATATTATATATATATATTTCTTTCTTTCTTATGAATTGTTTGCAGTTGTCTAAATGGAAAAAAGAAATACAGAACGTTAAGTGTGCTGCATGGGTCTATATTTCATCAGCACCAAGGAGTCTTACACCACCTTCCCCAAGTAAAAACCGTTAAAGGAATAAAATGTATCCTCTTTTGAACCTCTTTGCATGTTTAACAGAATTATGGGGAATGAAAAGGAGTTATTAATCCCATTGAAACCCCTCAAAAATAACAATGATAGTTTTATTTGATTTTTTTTTTTAAACCTCTGTGTTTAGTCCATGCATCTTAATTCCTGTTTTTGATTTGTAGAATAGGTTTTATTTATCTGAGCAATAATTATTTCATTTTTTTGTTGTAATTTGACAGCTTGGTCTCTGCTAAGATGTGTTTTAGAGATGATGTTGTGATTTTAAGAGGGTTACTCAGACAGACGGGTCGCAGCAGAACACGCTGAAGGAAAAAACAACTCTGCGCTGACATGCAGATCTGAAAGATGGTAACCCAGAATACAATACAGAGGAAAGGTAAAGATGTTAGAGGTTTATATTGTGGAATAAAGCCCTTTTGTTCTATGAAGAGGTTTTCTCATTTTGCTTTGCGCAAAGAAACAATGTTTTTCAAAGCACTCCATTTATGAGCCAGGGTGGATTCATTTCATTACCTACTTCTGCTATGATCTAAAAAAAATATTTAATTTATTCTGAATTTTTCATATCCAAACAGGGACAAAATTTTATATATATATCCACTAATGGCCATCTTTTTACTTTTTTTTATGCCATCAATCTGTATAACTAGTGCTGCCTAAAAATGACAAATTGTTTTCATCCCAAGCAGGTAATAGATATTCAAAAGGAAAGATAAAAAAATCAAAGTGTGCAGAGTGAGATTTAAGAAAAAACCCCACACTGCAAAAAATTAGATCTAAATAAGTAATTTTTTCTTAAAATATGTGCATTTTTCCTTGAATTGAGGAGATAAGTGAGACAATTTGCCAATGGAGCAAGACAATTTACATGTGAAATAAGAAAAAAACAACAGCATTGTCTTATTTGAAGTGCATATTATCTAATTATCTTATTCTAAGAATAAAAAATACTAATTCCACAGGTAAATCATATTATTTATCTGCTCAAATTAAGGGTAAATACACTTAATTTAAGAAATATTGACTTATTTCTAGATTGTTTTTGCAGTGCAGGGGGTTTATTAGAGCTCCCACCTAACCAAAATAAAAAATACATTTAAACATATAGGTCAACTAAACTCCACACATACAGAATCAGACAGAAAATATATCCAATACTAAAAATATAATTGACTATTACCTAAAAGAATATGTATATGCATTTAGCCATGTATTAATCCATGCAGTGCTTTGCTAAAGTATTCAAACCCCTTGAAATCCTGTCTTACGTAAAACTTTTAAGCTTGTCTGTTTAATTGAGATTTTATGTAGTAAACACTATAAAATGCATAAAGTAGCTTTAAAAGTGTGTTTAAATACCCTGTTTTTTCTGATTTAAATGCAAATGATTGTTGTCTTTTTTTCCACATATAATGTGACATAAAATCTATACATCTATGTTTCTTTTTAATGCTGGAAAATCCTGGTTGCAGAAATGTGTTTGGGATTAATTTATCCAAAGTAGTTTTCTTTTTCTTTTTAAGTTCTAATTTAGATTACAATTGATTGATCATTTTAATTTCTCCTGGAAATAATTTGATTAAAACCTTTGAAGGTTTTTCACTAAGAAAATCTAAAAAGATAGAACCTATAAATGATAGAGAAACCTTTAACTTTTTCTTTTTAAAAAGGGGTGTAGTTTTCAGAACTATCAAAAATAAATATCAATTTATTAGTTCATGACAAAAATGTCACATAATATGTGGGAAGACTTAAAATGGTTTACTATCGTCTCTCATGTCAGAAACCTGATAAAGGGAGTGTTCACACATTAAGAGCTAAATTGTGAAGTAGAAAGAAAATGATTCGTGGTTTTCAAACATTTTTGCAAATAAAGATTTGAAAAGTGTGGAGTGGATTTGTGTTCAGCCCCCTTTACTTTGGTACCCTTACATAAAATGCTCTGCAACCAGCTACTTTTATGCAGGGCTTGAGCTATGTTGCAAAGAGCGCTAAAAATGTTTACAGTGAAAGTTATTCTTACAGTTCGGTATGAATATTATTTAGATGTATAAATTTCCATATTACTAAAAATTCTAGACAAATATAAAGCCAAGCTTAAATGTTTTTGTTATGAATAATCTTTAAAGAAAATTAAAAAAACAAAGATATACAATCTATGAAATACTAAGATAAATGCATTAAGTGCATATCATGTCTCAGATTATGTAAGGGCAAATTATTTTCAATAAAGAATAAATGTTTTACTATTTAAGCGATTACGAAGGGGGTAAAGCCAAAAATACAGATAACTTGCATTGATCTGGAATGTTCTGTAGGGTACTTTCATAGCTTCACGAAAAATTGAAAGGGCTTGAACGAGTCCCTATTTTTTATAATCATGAATGAACGGTTTTAAACACTGTCCTGTCGGGCAATGTGGCAATAAGAACAAAAATATAAAATAAACCACATCTTCTGATTCACGGGAACCTCACTGAGAACATGAGGTAGGGTAATATATCTCTAAATGTAACACTACATCCCCCAGATGAGAAACAAAGTCACTGATATGGCATCCTTTAAGGGATTAGAAAACCATTCCTACGGTTATCATAGGGTTTCCATTCTACAAAAATCACTCCAGGAGCCTGTCAATAAATCATCTAGGATGATACATAACAGCTAAAGCACTGTGGGCCTGTTTTGCCTGAGTTAAGGTCAGAGGTCATGGTTAAGCAACAAGAAGTGGAAGAAGAATTACATCCACATGAAATTCAAGAACCAATGATGAAAAACAACATTAAAAACCTATCCCACATCTGCCAAAAAAGAAAAAAATATTTACAATCCAAAAGAGTTTTACGAAAAGATTTTATGGAATGATGAGATAAACTTTATAACAGATTATTTTACCAACAGTCCAACCAAGTAGTGGCAGTGTGATGCTCTGGGGTTGCTTTGCCACTTCTGGAGTTGGACCACTTGCAGTAACAGAAGGAACACTGTAGTCAGCTTGGTTTCTTTCTTTCTTTCTTTCTTTCTTTCTTTCTTTCTTTCTTTCTTTCTTTCTTTCTTTCTTTCTTTCTTTCTTTCTTTCTATCTGTTTTCATTAGTTTTTACTAGTATTAACACAGAGAGATGGAAAATAAAAGAAGATATGATGCATCATCGGTTTGCACATTAATCTCCAAAACATAGAAGTACAATGTTCAGCAGATACATTACCATAAGTTTATAGGATATGTCATACATGAGGAATAAGAAAAGGAAAAGATAAAAAATAAGAATGACAAAACAGGGAGGCCTTAATCAGTTGTTTATGATTTCCGTCTTATCTGTTGTCAAAAGGCTCCTGTATGGTGTTAGCCCTCCATACTTTGACAAAAGACTGACAGGATCCTTTGAGTTTATATTTTCCAAATTTGAAAATGTTTAACATCCCTGACCCAATGAAAAAAGGATGAAGTAACTTTCTGTTTCTATCTGAACAGAACCAAACGTCTATGAAGGAGTATGGTAAAGGCTATTCCTACATAGGCTTCGGTTGGCAACACAGCCCAATATTCCTCTGGTGTTAGACCAAAGTGGGCACAGGTCTGGTCAGGTTCTAACTGGGAGATCTTATCTCTTTAAATATGGTTTCTAAAAGGTTGAGAGGTTCTGAGACTGCTAGAACATATGCACTAGGTCTGCTGGCTGACCCCTACATCCCAGCCTGACATTAGTATAGTGAACTCTATGCACCACCTGCAGGTTGATAAAACTGTGCTTAGCCGATGTAGTTGATGTGTGCATCAGATTTAAAGTGAAGTGAAGTGTGCTTTCTGACAGAAAAACCTTAGGAGGAATGTCCAACCATCAGTTATTTCTGTTATTAGCAGCAATGTAAATGGTAAGTAATGTCGATTGTATATACTTTGATCCTTATCTTATTTTATTATCCTTGTTTTATTCTTATATCTTCTCTGTATATAATCTTATTTTTCTCTCTTCTGTAAATGATTGCCCTGCAGGAAAATAGCTTCCCGCAAGGGATTAATAAAGCAATTCTGATTCTGATATTGCTGCGGGAAAATGATCCAAAGCACATCATCAATTCAAATGAAAAGTTTAAAGTGGCCTAGTAAAAGAACAGACTTAATGCCAATGGAAATGCAGCACCAAAGTTCCTCTGAAGTGATGTAAGACACTCATTGTTTATTATACTTGATGAAATGAGAGTTGCTGCTGCTCAGGATGGCACAGCCACTTAGATTGAGAAGATAAACTAGTTTTGCACACAGGAAGTAAAATATCCCTTAAATTTGCCACAGAGGAAAAAGTTGACCTCTAATCCAGTCCTTTAGAAGCAGTGAGCTCTGACTTAGAACGAATTGGAGGGTTCTTTCCAGGCAATCCAGAGTGACAATCTGAGTTTCGAACCAGTAATCTTGCACTCCTGGACACAAACACTCTGGTCTCCAAGAGCTATAGCTCACCACTTCCCACAGAAGGAATCTGGATTAAATTGTTGTTGTTTTTTCCCTTTAATAAATTAAAATCTCTTAATTTTGCTATTTTGCATTTGTCCTGGTTTATATAAACATCCAGTTGAATAATTTCTAGTTAGTGGTAGTGTGACACTGGTTATGTTGTAGGTATCTTCTGTATATCTGTTTAATGACAGGAGCTGTTCCTTTTTCATTGTCCTTAAATAAGTAAGGAACACTTTGTTTTGAAAGCATGGCAACACCTTCTGCGGAGCATCTAATAATATCCTGCGGTCATAAGAATATGAGCAGCCTCAGTGATAAATCCAACTTCCATATTTAGCAAGTGTAATAAGAAAGAAATGCTTTAAGGCGAACTCATTCGATCCATTCAGTCAATGGACCAAACACAGTCGCCACAGAGAACAGAAGGAAGCGCATCGGAAAATAAATCTCTACACATGATGTCACACAGATGTATGACTTATAGACTCTGGCATTTACAAACCGCAAGGAGTGGCAGAACTCTGTATCTAAAACTGGGAAATCAAGTGATTAGAGAAAAACACCGAAAGCTGTTCAAAGTAGGACAAACTCTGGACAATTGACAATGTAAGACATATAATTCAAAGACAAATGCAAATTATGTAAGAAGAAGGCAGAAACATGGATGAAATAGTATTTGTCTTAGACTTGCACACTTTGGGAATGACAATGTAATAGAAGGATTAGGTTTGTAGTTGGGTTATTTTCCTGCAGCAATGAGGATAGTCAAAAAAGAGTTGAACATAGAGCCAAGTTCTTGATTTACAAGCCCATCTACATTCCAACCCTCAACTCTGTTGATCAGCTATTGATCATGATTTGAAGAACTAGATCCTGGATATAGGCTGCTGGAATTAGCCTTTGGGTAGAGAATGAGAGAGAATATCTGCTTATCCATTTAGATCCCAGAGCCTGGTTCTGCTGGAGGTTTCTTCCTGTTAAAAGGGAGTTTTTCCTCTCCACTGTCGCTACAAGCATGCTTAGTGTGAGGGATTGTATTTGAGCCAATGAGTCAATGCAATCAACTGGTTTTCCATAGATAGAAAACTTTTAATCATTTTGACTGTATTATCTGTAAAGTGCCTTGAGATGACTTGTGTTGTGAATAGGCGCTATATAAATAAACTGAATTGAATTGATTTGAATAGATCAAAGCTTTTTAAAGGGTCTTTGTTTTTCATTACTTTTTTTGTCCATATTTTTTTTGTATATTTCACTGACCAGAGACCCTCTCATACTGTGGCTCTCTTCTTGCCACTCTTCCATAAAGGCCATATTTCAGAATTTCACAACTCATGTCAATAGATTTCCCACCTAAGCTGCGGATGTCTGCAGCTCCTCCAGAGTTACCATGAGGCTCTTGCGTGCTTCAAAGATTATTGCCCCTCCTTGCTAATCTTCCCACTTAAGGTAAAGATCCAGAAATGATACAATCAAAAGGTCTGTTTTTTGTCATTTTTCCTTCTACATAAATTTAGTCAGAGATGCAAAATCCGCGTTCAGTTTTGAAAAAGAGTGCTGTTCAACTCTTAGGAAAACCTACCATAATAGTTTTTCTTTAGTTTAATGGTTAAACTCAAGAAAAAAAGATTACATAACTTGTTTTATTCTTTAAAACATATGAAGCATTTTTTTTGTTTAAGTAGAATCAAACTGTTTCTTCAATAGAAGTTTGATGGAAAATGAAGAACCATAGATCCAATTTGGAGCATGATGACCTGTGCTATTCTGAGGTAAAAAAAAAAAAAAATCCATGAATTTTGTATGAGAAACAGATTAAAATGTATAAAACTACATATCCGTCCCTTTTTTGCTAATGTTCTGGTTTACTATAATGGCGTAGCTAAGGCGTTTAAATGAAGAAAGGTTCCAGGTTTTTATATGTGGAGGACAAACTCTGCCATATTTAAAAATAAATACAGAAATGCATAAATAAACGCTCAATAAATAGATATGTTTTATTTGGCAAATGTTCATTTGCTTTGTGTTTGAAGAAATAACGAGGGTAAAAAAAAATACAAAAGAAGAATAAAACAGACAAAAATATTATATCATGCACATAAATAAATACTTAAAAACTAAGTAATAAATAAATAAAGTTGAAGATTATAACGGACAATAAATAAATAATCTAATTATTACAAAGGTGAATAAATAAAGAAACTACTTAAAAGGGATATATACAATTATGTCTCACTGTATAATTGCATTTCCACCTACATTTAATTATTTATTGTATTTTGGGGGACAATTAATTATATGCTTATTTATTTATTGAGCATTTATTTATTCCTGTATTTATTTCTAAATATGGCAGAGTTGGTCCTCCATACTTAGATCCTGCAACGCATTACATTTTAGGTTTATTAATTTCAAGTCAAGAATATCAATCTGCCGTAACTTGGATCGTCCTGATTGGCTGATTTTCCACCAATCAGCAGCCTCACTCGGGACTCCCTGACTCCGCACATCCACGGTCTGATTTGACACACACACACAGACACACACACATAGTGGAACACGGTAAGTCTGAAAGCTGGTACACTTCTAAAACAAATCCTAATTTCATGGCCAATCATTCAACGGGTGTGTTATTTGGAACAAAAGTTATTGTATTTGCAATTATTTTTTTTACCGAATTTGTATTATCTAGTATTTATGTGCCCAGTAATAAGGAAGCTGGTGTGTAACATATAGCTTGGCTAGGCTAACTTTTATACAACCAGCTAACAGGAGAGCTAGTGAGTAAATGGCGAGTTCTCGACATAAACTATGTTTTATGTTCATGTAACATCAATTAATCGTGCCAATGTGACCGCCGTTCTTATATTGGTTTATACTTGTATTGATGTTAAACGTTAAAGGCCGAGTGTTTAAACTTTTTAGGAAAGCCGATAGTTTCAGAGTAGAGAGTAATGCTAACTGGCTAGCTTGTTAGCGCTCGGATGTAGCTAAAAAGTGGTGTGAACCTTAACCGCGAGCCATATACCAACTAACTACGAGCTTTAATTTTCTTTAGGCAGGTCTGAATAAAGCTAATAACCACATTGAAAGCTTTCCACTATATTTCCTTTTAAATTTGTTATGGCTACAAATCAACGGCGTTGGTTAGCATTTCCCTGAATGTGCTAACTAAATGCTAGTAAATAAGTTGTCAAACTTTTTCCAGGCTAGCTACTTGTAATTTATATTCACCAAATGTTAGACTTTGCGTTTAATCACGATTTGGATTGTGTTTATTTTTGTTTCTGTAATCTGGGGATTGTTAAATGGTGTTAAATCCTCAATGTTGTTTTTTTTTTAAACTAATAGCCACACCCTTCCTTTCGAAACCAACTACGGTACAAAATGTCAGGAGTTTATTTTATTACTTTAAACGTTATTTGCCCGACTTCGATCGTGTTTTAGGTTGAACACTTAAACGTTGAGATTTAAATAATTAGTTTGAAGAAGTCCAGTAATTTTGATAATGTAAGTGAAGTTAAAATCCGCTGCCCCCTCCCTCCTCTGGCTCTGACACATGATACTTTCTCTGAGCCGAAGATGTTGTCCCATGGTTTGCCACCGTGGGGTGAAAATTAATACCTTCGTTATTAATGTTGAAGATCAGCCTTTTGTATTCTGTACTTGTCAGACAGCTTTAGATACTCGAGAACTCAAATACGTATGAAGTTTTGTATTAAGAAGGTAAAACATATATGTGTATTTTTGTAAATCAACCTAAATATCAGTTTATTATTTAAACATTTTCTCATTTACGATGTTTCTTCTTTTTATTACCATTTAATTATCGAGCTAAACACAATAGCATAGAATTTAAAGTTAGTAAAATGTAATCTTAAATAATTTATCATGATATGTAAACAATATATGAAAATGTGCAGGTTGAAAGCATATTTTTTTTAAAGTTTTGTAATACATAATTTAAGTGAAAAATCATATTAGGACTGTATTTTATTTTATATTTATTAGTAATAAACACATATATATATATATATATATATATATATGTATTTGCTTATTGTAGATATGTAACTATAGTCTGTGCCTTCAATACTCTATTACACCATGCAAGTTGAAATTCCCAGGAGTTTTACTAATGGCCAAAAAAAACCATGTTTTATTAATCCCTATTAAGCCCTCTCAGTAAAATCAAAACACTGTTGAAAGTCTCAGGTTTCAATACAAATTTAGGGGCATAGGTTATTCCAAAATAATAATTCTAACCCACACCAAACATGTTTTCATCATTATACAGTTTTTCTACTAGTCGTTCTGATTCAGTTGATTATTTTTTTTAAATATGGTTTGTTAAAATATCATTTTTGGAGTGTTTGTTATATGTACTGACTTTAGTTTTATTGTTTGTGTTTAGGAGCCATTTGAACACATTTGCTTGGCCTCTCTCTTTGCTCCCTTGCTACATCTTACAGCTTTGAAGTTCAGTGGACATCAAAAAGGCCCCCCCCCTCCCCAGATGTAGAGGGTGTTTTGGTCATTACAACTGTGTGCAAGGTACATGGAGCAGTTTTATAAGAATAAAGGAGATTTGTGTTTGTTAATGCAATTTAGCAAAACTCTTGTTAGTTTGTATTTTTATACCCTGATCAAAATCTGGAATTAAATTATCCATTAACTGTTGGTATAGACATGGAGACTGTTCTTTTTAATTAAAACACAAAGCTGGCTTGGTGAAAATCACCAGCTGAGGCATTGATACGCCCACTATGTCCTGGCTCATTTCCAATCAGCAGATGAATTGAACTTATCTGATGTCAAGATTTAAACGCAGGTATTTGACACCCACATGTATTCATATTCTAAAAGCAAGACTACTGAAGTTTCTCAGCTATTATCATTACCTTTTGGTGCAGCCTGTCCTGATCTTGGTGACTATTTCAGTGTGTTCATACGTACTCACTGTGCTCTACGTTTTCTGTCTGCGTGGTGTACTTGAGTCGATGAGGGTCATCACAATAGCTCTTTGTGAAGTGTGCTGTGTGCCTGTCTCTCACTGTGGTGCTTCATACGTCGTAGTTAGAATTGCTAATGCTGGGCGATTGCAACAGAGTGGGTTTTGTGTTGTTCGTGGCTGCATTTGACAAAGATCCCACAGACCTAACATAATTAGTACATTCAGCATAAAATTTCACTGTACATATCAAACTCTGTTATATTTCAAATACCTTCTTAAAATACACATGAAAGTGTTTCCCTGTAGGGTATTGGTAATGTATTTTTTCCCCCCATCTGTCAAATGTGTGGACAATGATATATTAACCTTCTAAAACTACTTAAAACAAGATTTTATTTGACACATATCTGTTGTAACTGCTAAAGTCATGGTGCATTTTAGCAAAAATTATTATTTTATTTTTCCCCGTTATATCTGTGATGTATTATGGGGGAAGGGCATCATAGGTCTTATATATGTGAGGAGGGAAAAAAGATGAAATTTTTAAGCAAACCACCTGCTATGTGTCATCTCACTAAAAGGTCATCACATTTCCCTTCTGGGCCAAGATTCTTTAGTTTGTATCACAGCGTTAGAAAAGGAAATGATGTGGAAATGCAGCCTCAACAGGTTGATGCTGAACTGTGAATTTGTTTGAATTAATAATGTCTTGCTTGCAGAACCTTTCTAATTTCCTGTTTGCATGTTTTTTCTAGTTTTACTATTAGTTATTAAAGTTTTATGATGATGGGAAATGTGTATTTACTTTTTATGTCCTAATTCTTTGGATGTTTATTATATCCTCCATAACATTCCTGTCTTCATTGCAAAATGCAGCTGACAGCGTCTCTTTGTGCCAAGTATTTTTCTAGGCCATATAGGATGTCTAATGTGTGTCAGGCTGATGAAGCAGTTAGGTTATTCACTGTGACCCTTTTCTTCTGTATTGTAATGAGATGAAGCTATTTGTGAAACTGGAACACTTAACAAAGGCTTGAACCTGTGTAAGATTGAAGGTAGTGAGTATAATTCTTCATTATAGCAAAAAATATTTTACTTCAATTGTAGCACTAGTTTACAGCAGTGTCATTTATTTATATAATCAGCAAATAGAAGCTGTATGATACAAGCTTAGCTGAATTATGTTCTGGAGAGCAATGTCGATTACGCCATTCCTCCAGTCTATGGGGCCCACAATAGACCATTAATTCAAATTAGCTAACTTTAGCTAGCTAGAGAAGCTACAATTATGACCAAATGTATTTATATAAAAAAAAAACAGGAGGTAGTGGGGAAAAAACCCATCAGAAGATAGTTATAAAATACATCCATAGAAATCATCAGCTGTTTACATGAGTTTTAAATCACACTGTATTGCCCTGTAGTTGCGGGAAAAATCTGATATTTGGAGAAAATGATCATATGGGGTAGTAATATACAATTCAGACTTTTTTTTTAAAGGGGAGACCTTCACATGCAATGAATTCTGGGATGTTGCAGATTTGAAACAGTGCCCCATAGTTGTAAATTAACACTGAAGACTGAATATGATATGAACGTTAACTTTATTTCAATGTCACAAACAAAAAATTAATAAAACAAAATAAAAAATAAAAATTTCTCTCACAAAATTAGAGACAACTTTTTCTCAAACTTTTTCTCCACCGACATCTCAAAACCTCTTGAGAAGGCCGTTTCTGTTAAACTGTGGCTCAAAATATAGGCAAACTAGTAGATAAAGCATGTAGCATCCATTGGTACCTGTTTGGGCACACGTTGCGAATCCACAACATTGAAATCGAAATGCCTCTGGTGAAAAACCCAGAGGAGAAAAAATCTACTAATTGGCATGTGTCATATCTATACATATTCAGGATTCATCTAATGTAGTATTGATTTCAAAATAATGGAAATTGGTAGTGATACTTACATGAAATTGGTGCTTAGAAAATCTGTATCAGTGACACCAAGGACTCAGCTATGTTGAAAGTGAGTCAGCAGTGCTATCTGGTGAGCTGGAGAGAAACTGTTTGTTGCAAATGCACAACTAAGTCCTTCTGTTGTACTTCTGAGTAACGAAAGCTCTTAAAATATGGAATTGGAGTAATTAGCTAAGTGGCATTTAGCTGTTGCAATCTGCAACATTTGCCTGGAGAGGGTTTTATAAGGTTAATCACCTCTTGAATCTTTTTACAGAAGAGATTTGTTCAGCCACCTTAAAATTGAAATAGATCAACTGATCCAGAAGGTATTAAAGTAGACTGGAATTAATTATATTTTTTAGTTTTAAGTATATGTTTAGGATCATCAAAGTAGTAAATGGACTAAAATGTAGAGCAAATTATTTGATTCAAAATCACTACATTTTGGTTGATGCTTGTATTTATTGTATATTTTTTTTCCTTGTTTTGTTTTGAATATGATTGTAAGTGTAAACATTTATTGTCATTAGACTTTTTGAATAATGGGCGAAGATATTCAATCAAAGCACCAGATACATTTTTAAGGATTTTCAGTGGATATTTTCTTTTCCAAACAATTTTATTACATTCTTGAATTTGGCCAAAGCAATTGTGACCTTTATTATTTAGTTATATGATTTGAGTTATAGTTGATTAGGGACTATTTCTGGGATTTTATTGAACTGGCCATTCATGTGGATGTCATCAATGTGTTTGTATTTTTTTCTATAGCACATAATAGCCTAGTTTCCCCATGTACCACGTTTCCATTCTATGTCTATGGGGGAAAAACAGGACAGGGGAATTTTTTTCCATCTTTAACTAATATCCATCTTTTCCTTTATCTTTTTCCAGACTCTTGTGCTGTCCAGTAAGGTCACCCACCATGCGTGAGTACAAGCTAGTCGTGCTTGGATCAGGAGGTGTGGGAAAATCTGCACTGGTAAGTCATTCTGGAAAAAAAATAATTATTTTCCTTAGTTTAATTTTCCATAATGTTTTTTTTATGTTGGTTATGTTCAAATTATTGAATTAACACTCATTTGAAATGTTATTCAAAGTTTAAAAATTATATGATTTTGTTGAGATATTAACTATTAATTTAGCACAGTGCTGGTGATGTACTAAACTTTCTATTTTTCTCTGTTGTTTCCAGACAGTCCAATTTGTTCAAGGCATTTTTGTGGAGAAGTATGACCCCACTATTGAAGACTCTTATAGAAAGGTATAATATTAAACTATCACCTTTTAAAGCCTCCTTAAATAAATTTTTGGTTAGCTATATAAACGGTTTCTTTGATCTCATGAAAATATTCTTGTCTTTCTAATACAACAGCAAGTTGAAGTCGACGGGCAGCAATGCATGCTGGAAATCCTGGACACTGCTGGAACAGTAAGCCTGGCCGAACTCTGCGTTTAGATGCAAATGTTTTTGTTTGTTTTTTTGGTTCACTGATGCCATCTCTCCTTGATCATCGTTCTGTAGGAACAGTTCACAGCTATGAGGGACCTGTACATGAAAAACGGGCAAGGCTTTGCTTTGGTGTACTCCATCACAGCACAGTCAACGTTTAATGACCTACAGGACCTGCGGGAACAAATCCTGCGAGTAAAGGACACAGAGGATGTAAGTGCATCTTATTTTTGAAATAGGCACCCTAAATGCTCTGTAGGTTTAAATGCATTACGTGAATCTGGGAGCTTAAAGGAATAGTACACCCAAAACATGATTAGCCTTCATTTTCTACTCACCCCCATGCTGAACAACACCCTGGAGTACTTTTTTGATATCTCAAATGCATCTGGAGATCTGGGAGGCTTCTTGCTGTCTGCTGACATTCAAATAATGGAGGTCTATGGTGCCCGAGACAGAAAGGTCCATAAAAGTCCACAAAAAACGTGTCAATATTCCTCCATACTGGTCGTCCAATGTATTCCAAGTGTCCTGAGTGGGTAGCATCCAGAATTTACTCGAAACGAAGTCATTTAGAATGTTTTTAGAGCATAAACAGTAGTGTATAGGATTTCCTGAAAGCGCGCACATGTGCGATCACGGCGCTACGGAAGCCGGCAGACCAAACCAGATGAAAGTGCGCATTCAGCGTCTGCTCTGCCGATAATGCAAGCGTAGAAGAAGAAATGTGCTGTCTACCTGTGCAAAGAAAGAAACAACGAAAGAAAAATGTCTGAGGACTTCAGTGTTGAGGAAGAGCAGGAGTTCTTTGCCGAGCTGAATGCGCTGGTTTGGTCTGCCGGCTTCCGTAGCGTCGTGAACGCGCATGTGCGCGCTTTCAGGAAATCCTATACACTACTGTTTATGCTCTAAAAACATTCTAAATGACTTCGTTTCCAGTAAATTCTGGATGCTACCCACTCAGGAAACTTGGAATATATTGGACGAGCAGTATGGAGGAATATTGACATGTTTTTTGTGGACTTTTATGGACCTTTCTGCCTCGGGCGCTGGGCACCTCCATTATTTGAAAGTCAGCAGACAGCAAGAAGCCTCCCAGATCTCCAGATGCATTTGAGATATCAAAAAAGTACTCCAGAGTGTTGTTCAGCATGGGGGTGAGTAGAAAATGAAGGCTAATCATGTTTTGGGTGTACTATTCCTTTAACTTTTTGGATTTGTTTAAAGCGTGAATTCTGAGATCTCTTATTCAAATCATGTAGATCTAGGAGCTCTGTCATTGTACTAGTTTTTATATAACCATCGGTACATCACTGGATATGCCTGGATATCAAAATATGTCTGCTCACATTTCCATTTGCCTGATCTGGTAGACTCTGTCTTCAGGTTCACCCCCCCGCTTTACTAGACTGACTGCTGTGGAGGTTAGCTGCGAGGGGGCTGCAGGTCTATGACGGGGAGGAAATGTCAGAGCTGTTAGATATGATCTGCTTTTTTCAGTCTTCGTAGCTTCATCTCTTGTTTTAGAGGAAGGATGTGCAATGTTCTGAATCTGTTCTCCGTTTATTTAGAACCAGTCGAATAGCACCTCTGTCACGACTGAAGCTAAAAAATATGATTTACAATCCTAGCTAACCCTATTTTTTCTCAACCTTCTCACTGATTTATCAATTAACATAAATAACTGATTTTGTAAAAACATTGTTAATATAGATGTGCTCCGCCATATAACAAATATTAATAAGTACAGCTTAGAATAAATGCTCTTAATATAGGTGTTAAGAGATAAAAAAAAGCTTTGTTATTTAACATATTGTGAATCTTTAATATAAAATGAGTATCCAGGAAATGGTAAAATGCGTTTTCAAGTGCTACAAGTTTTTTCCTAAACCATTTATTTAACATGTATAATTTACATCACTATGTAACAAACATTAAATAGTTATATATATGTATTATTTACTATTTATCTTTCATTTTAACTATGGGATGTAGCCCTGCCCCTGGTGTTGATTTTGTTTTGAGATTACACTTGTATCGTAAAAATGAGACAAAGGTACCAAGAATCTAATCTAACCTTTGAGCTTGAAGTAGGAAACTGTATAATTAAGTTTTCATATAAATATGATCAGCTGTATGTTGCAGACTTTTCTTTTTCAGATTCATTCGACAACTGTGACCCATAAAAATGAGAGAAGAGACAACAGTTGCAAGCATTCAAAACATAAAGCAAGGCATTTCTCAGGAAAGCAAATGTTGACAGTAATAACCTTTATGAGTCATCCCCAGGTGTGTTCTGCTTTGGTTCAGGTTCAGGAGCCTGTCTCACTGGTTATTGTACAGTGCATTGCCAAAAGCATTAGGTCAGACGACATACAAACACACTTGGATGTTAAAATGACTTTCGTGTTGTCAGGTTTGTAAAGTTTGATGCAGGAAGACTTGACTGGCCTGACCACAATCCTTTAGAAAAAATTCTGACCCCAACATTATGGTAGATGTTTTCATAACAGTTAAAGTTACTAATGCTAAATCAGGGGTTGATGTGCAAAATACACCTTTTAAATAAAGAATAGGATGTCATTTAAGTTCATCTACATGATATGATGTATTTAGATAGCTAGCTTATAGTATTGAAATATATTACACTACAATTACGATGTCAGAATAAGGTTCAAGTATGAGTTAAATTAAAAAAACAATCAGAACTTCACTTCCAGTAAGCTTTGGGATTAACTATGGTTTTTATTGATTAGCTAATAATTTTCAACTAATTTGTGAATCCCGTAATCCTTAGCTGTAGTGTTCATACTAAAACGTGCTGAAAGAACATCCAAGCAAATAAGCCAAAATGGTTCAAAAACATAAATAATTTAAGTTTATTTGAGTGGAAAACCCTTTTTTGTCTTTGATCCAGAACTTCTCGGGTGCAATGATTTAGCTTTGCTCTGTTCAAATTCAGTATTATCCTATTTAGCATGCCATGACATTAGATTATTTTTAGCAGTAAGTTAATTGCATTCATACAGTACTTTTATAAAATCTCACACTTATTATTCACCCACTCTTGCACTACCATATTAAAGCTTGATTAACGCACAAATATTTTTATTAATAATCAAATTGTTTTTATCAGTTTTTCATATTAAACCAACAGACATCCCGTCCAGGGTATACAAAACAAAACAAAACGAAACAAAACAAAAAAACTCCATATTTACATCACACAAACATCACAAAAAAGAACAAAAAAAAAGCACAAATATTTTTTGTTCTAACTGAGAACCGTTTCTAAATTTGGTTCTCAAATATTAGAACTGGAGTAATCTCACAAACTAAACACTGAACTTAATTTGCTTTCTAAATTTGATGTTTTTTGTTAGAATATAGGAGGCTATACTAATAATGTGTCATATGATTTTTCTTTGGCATTGATAATCTGGCCCTTTCAAGCTGATTTTATCTGGGGTTTCTTTTATCTGTCATTCTCTCTTTCTATTAGAACTGCTTTATAAGTTTACCAGATTTTAAATCTTAATGCAGCTACATTTAACATTAGGAATGTAAACAAAAGTACTCCAATTATGATTAATTGTCCATTTATAGTTTATTAGATGAATATTTTTTCCATTCGATAAATGATACCCTCTGCATAAAAGGAATTTCTTTCAGAGTTGTAGTGTTACTGGAGGTCGCCGGTGTTCAATGATATGCAGCCTCACTCTTATTAGCAAAGAAGGTAATGCTACAGCGGAGGCATACTAGAACAGAAACGTCAATCATTCCAGGAGCCGGTCTGGGATTTTTTACTCTTGAATGGCATCCAGGATATAGAAGGTATATTATGAGATGAACTCGTTGTCGTCTAAGCTTTGCCTTTATAGCCGTGTTGTATGATGGAGAATTCTTAATTTCTCTGTTGTTTTTAAAATGCGAGGATTTGATGATAAAACGGTAGCGGGCATTACACAGAAAATTTGCTACATGAAAGAAGAATAGCAACAAGCACATTGGATTAGGAAGCCGTTTTTGATTTAATGCTCTTCATTGTGTTGAGTTTTAAAGGAATAGTACACCCAAAACATGATTAGCCTTCATTTTCTACTCACCCCCATGCTGAACAACACTCTGGAGTACTTTTTTGATATCTCAAATGCATCTGGAGATCTGGGAGGCTTCTTGCTGTCTGCTGACATTCAAATAATGGAGGTGCCCTGCGCCCGAGACAGAAAGGTCCATAAAAGTCCACAAAAAACGTGTCAATATTCCTCCATACTGCTCGTCCAATGTATTCCAAGTGTCCTGAGTGGGTAGCATCCAGAATTTACTCGAAACGAAGTCATTTAGAATGTTTTTAGAGCATAAACAGTAGTGTATAGGATTTCCTGAAAGCGAGCGCCTGCGCGCTCATGACGCTACGGAAGCCGGCAGACCAAACCAGATGAAAGTGCGCATTCAGCGTCTGCTCTGCCAATAATGCAAGCGTAGAAGAAGAAATGTGCTGTTTACCTGTGCAAAGAAAGAAACAACGAAAGAAAAATGTCTGAGGACTTCAGTGTTGAGGAAGAGCATGAGTTCTTTGCCGAGCTGAATGCGCTGGTTTGGTCTGCCGGTTTCCGTAGCGTCGTGAACGTGCAGGCGCGCGCTTTCAGGAAATCCTATACACTACTGTTTATGCTCTAAAAACATTCTAAATGACTTCGTTTCGAGTAAATTCTGGATGCTACCCACTCAGGAAACTTGGAATACATTGGACGAGCAGTATGGAGGAATATTGACACGTTTTTTGTGGACTTTTATGGACCTTTCTGCCTCGGGCACCATAGACCTCCATTATTTGAATGTCAGCAGACAGCAAGAAGCCTCCCAGATCTCCAGATGCAATTGAGATATCAAAAAAGTACTCCAGAGTGTTGTTCAGCATGGGGGTGAGTAGAAAATGAAGGCTAATCATGTTTTGGGTGTACTATTCCTTTAAGACTCTTCTACCAGCAACCAAAACAACCTGTTCAAAAGCCAGTAACCACAAAATTTCTCCTACCAGACTGTTGGAATATATAAAAAAAGAAAGAAATCCCAGTTACCGTCCACTTTTTTGAAGGAATTAAACAATCTGGTAGATATCCCCTGTCTCTGCCTATGATTTGTATCTCTGTTCATTGTGAATTGTTGTTGTTCCGCATATTTTATTTGTATTTATTTTATTTAGTGAC